CACGCAAGCTACGTTAGCTATCCCTGAAAAACAAGGAGACTTGACACGTACTAAAACCAAAGGAGCTACACCTTGACCCCAAAGGGAGCCCAAAACGACGCATTTGTCAGTCTTCCTCGCCGCAACAACACCCTCTTTAATGAGAGTTTGGAGACAACCCGAGTCTCTCAAAAGAGTGACTGGTGTTTCGACACCATCAACTTCTACCGTGCCTTGTGACAAAAAGGGACGAAAGGTACCAACGTCTGGGTCCTTCGCAAAACTCTCCTGGAAAAGATCAAAGTCTCGTGAGGCGAGAACCGAAACTGCACTCTCTCGTGCTTCACATTTTGTGGAAATCAACCCTATTGGCAAGCTGTCAGCCTTACTCAAACCAGCCATCACTCCGACTGGTGACGTATTAGTCCCTTCAGTAATAATCATAGCTGGTTTGCCCGTATTTAGCTGCAGCCTCGTCCAACAAAACTCTGCTTTATGACCTGGCTTTCCATAGTAACTACAAGCGTATGTAGAAAATTTGGACGCCCCATTAGGTGGCGAACGCGTCCAGCTCCTCCTGTCACGCACAAAATTACTATTGTTAGTATTCCCATGTCTCGCTCTATGGAGAGAGGGATTAAAAGTCCTTTGAATCTGTGGGGCATAACATCATTGTTAGTCCTGCCATGCCTCAAAACATATCCATCAGCATGCTTAGCAGCCTCTTCGATAGTACTAAATTCCCTATCTAACAAGTATAAGGTAACCTCTTCGTTGATGATTCTCAAAAATTCCTCTGTGAGCATTAACTCAATCAGGGAGTCAAAATCACTCACTTCCTTAGAGTGTAACCACTTTGAGAATACCTCTCTTTTACTCCTAGCAAATTCAAGGTGAGTCTGCTCTGCCTTCTTACGGAGTCCACGAAAGCGTTGTCTGTACGCTTCAGGAACAAGGGCATAAGCTTTTAAAACTTCCTCCTTAATACATAAATAATCCTTAGCGTCACTGTCTGTAAGAGACGAAAAAACACACAGAGCCTTACCTGCAAACGCTTGTTGAAGCAAAATGGGCCAAAACTCTATAGGCCACTTTAATGTGGCAGCAAGTTTTTCGAAAGCAATGGAAAACTCATCAACTGTTTCCTCTGAAAACGTGGGCATTAGCCTAGCAGCAAGTGCTGGATCAAAATGAGAAAAACTAGATCTGGGGGTGAGGCCATCGGTGTTAGGAACTTGTTTTAAAAGGGCTAAAAATCCTTTCATTCCTCTCAAACCCGACAAGTTCCTACACTTAAGAATATTTTGACTCTGCCCTATCGTAATGAATTTGTCCCGTTAGTTCGGTCCCTCAAGCTTCTAAATATTAATGTTGTTTTCAAGTATGACTCAACCATTACCAATATGTTAATAAGGAATAGCCCAAGTTTGAATGTAAATGGAAGTGTTTATTGTATTCCATGTAGCAAATGTAATTGTAATTATGTAGGTCAGACAGGAAAAACACTGCAGCTCAGAATCAAACAACATAAGTATAATATCAGAACTGCATCTGAAAGCAGTGCCTTGTTTGTTCATGTTAGGAATAATAATCACCCCATTGCTTGGGAAAAAAGCTTAGAAGTATTCAAATCATCTTGTGTCACAGAAAGACTTCTGGTTGAAGCTAGTTTGATTAAGGAATTAAAATCAATAAACCTTAGTGATGGTCAGTTCAAAACTGATAATATGTTACATAAATTTATTTGTCAGTGGCCCAAGGTTAAAAATGCTTTGAAAACCTTTGATCTAGATGTATGATAGTTATTTTGTGGGTCCCTTTTTTCTGACCTGACCTGGCTAGTCACGTCACCACCCTTCTCTTAAGCTCCTCTACCTGTGTGTTGGTGTGGGGATTAGTGGATGTCATCATTATGACCTGACCTCATGTTTTTAGGTCACCCTGTATATTCAAGCCTCTCTCTGTCCATGTAATCCAGTTGCCTCTGAAGATGTCTTGAATAAAGATGAAAGCTAAGGTACTCCGTTGTTTCCATTTTCCCGTGTGAATTTATCAAGATATATATATATATATATATATATATATATATATATATATATATATATATATATATATATATATATATATATATATATAATTTAAAACCACACACTTGTACGTCACCGGGGTAGGAATGAAGAAACAACGGCTAAACATGACGCGGAATATTTTCCCTGGGTAAGTAGGGAAAGGAGGAAGATATCGATTGTAAATCGAAATTCCATAAATTTACAATGATATTCTTAATTTCGAAACATATATAATTAATACTCTTCATAATGAAGGCAATACTTAAGACATAAAGTATCAGAATTTTAGACCAGAATTAATAGTACAGCGACATTGCCGAACAATTGTGCATTTTATAATAAAAGCATTAACTTTGGCACAGATATAGAGTAATACATGGTGAATATTTTCAGATATGGAACCACTAGAAACTCAACCTCTGTGGGCGCCATATTGAATTTCAAGGTGGCCGCCGTTCAGGATACGCTAAACTATGTATTTCATTCCAATGCATCAATATACATAATCCAGGTTACGAAAATCATTTGTGATAGTTTTCGAAGTTTATTACAATGAAAAAGACAAGTAAAAGCATTACACTGGAAAATTAACATACAAATTTTCCGAACTCCCAAAACTTAAAAAAAAATTCTGAACATTCGGCTATTGGGGCCAAATCTCTGTAGATATTTGGTCTTAACAGCCACCTTAACATGCACAAAGTCCAGTGTATTTAAGTGCAGATTTTTTGCACCTTCACTTCCCACCGCAGTGTTTTCTGCAACCGCAAGAGATGAGCTCGTGGCATGACTTTGACACTTCAGAGAGTGTGGTCCAGAGTGGTTCCAGCTCATCACCCGACTTCATCCAACCCCAGTCACATGGTGATGGCAGACTGATAAACGCTATTGAGGCCTGTCCTCAGATATGTCCAGCCTGATAAGCAGCTCTCTTTATGTGCTGCTCCAGAGCTGCTCGTGTTGGTGGGAGATCCTCCAGTGATCTTGATTTTCTTGAAAACAGTTTCTTTCTCAGCACGTTCACGTCACAGCATGTGCTCGTACTGTCATAGAGCAGCACGATGAATCTCTTCAGTGTCGACAGGACACCATCAGGCAGCTCACTTAGGGAGGAAGCCAGACTGAGGAAGGTGGTTGTTACTTCCGGAAATGCATTCCATGTGGCCCAGGCTGTCTTCTTGCTATGACCTGCAAAGGCAGATACCGTGTCGCAGCCCGTTATTGCGTGAAATACTGGAAGAGCTCTCGACTTCTCAGGTCCCAGGGCCTTTGCAATCTGATGTGCTGCTATGTAACGTCGATTCTTTCCTGTGCCAAAAGCAAGACATAGTTCATCTAGTACCTCACTCCGTTCATTCGCTAGAGCAACTGCAAGGATGGCAACATCTGTATCGACGGTACGAATGAGTATTCGCCGATGACCACATTCCAAGGCATCAACTGCATGAACCATCATCCTAGTGTCGGCCTCTTCGTGGTTGCATGGTGCCAAGTTGGCAGTGTACTTCCGGGGTGGAACAGTGAGTACCTGTTTCTTGTCTGTGACAACCAGCTGTTTACTTTCTTTGACAACCAACTGCATAGCCTGTTCTGACTGGAAACTGAAGAGTTCCTCTTTGTTGTCACTGTTGCGGAGAAAGTTTTGCCAGTTGCTAGGTAGAGGACCAGAGGCAGTGACGCGTCTTCGAATGCCCTTGCCACGGTTACATCTTACTGTTGCTTTTAGACTCCCAGATTTCGGGTAGCAATCCCATACCAGGTCAAGTCGAGATCGATATTCGAGCTGTGATTCAATATAGGGAATGAATACAACTGTGCTGTATTCTTGAAATGTCCTTCTGCCTCCTGGCTTCAACATTTCTACAATGGCAGGTCCATCGAGTATAATTGAGGTGACATGTGGGGCGTCAGTGATCTTGTCAGCAAGCTGTTCAAGGGGTGTGAGTAAGTCGGTCTTCTTGCTGAAGCGGAGTTTCCCATTACTGGAGAGTGCTGGTGGATAGGCCCGGTTTTCATGCTTGAAGAATTCGTCCAAATCACCCTCTCTTGTTTGACAGGCTATGTAGAGCCTGGAGAAGAGTCCACAGTCGTCTTTTGCGAAGGCTAGTTGCTGCTTACTCCTAGTTGGAGACTTGGATTTCATAGAAGTGAATAGTGTTAGCTTGTAGAGCTTGTAGAGTGTCACCCAATAGGCTTAGACTTGTCTTCAAGGCGTTCTCTTACATATGAATGGAATTGTTCTCGTCCAAGCTTGACAACATTTTGCACACTCTTCACGGCTTCTGGACACAAGATTTCCTTTGTATGAAGAACCATTATGTCAGCAATTTCTTCCCATTTCTTCCATGACAAGTGCAAGTGCTTTCACATCCTGAAGAAACTTGTCCTGCGTCGTGTTGGTTTGCTCATGATGGTAGAAGTTAGCCTTGGTTTGCTCAGCTTTCTGCGATGATTCAAATTCAGCCAGTTAACGTATTATGGGTTCATCGAATGCCTCTGAACCCCTTTTTCTTTCTTCCTATAGCCTATTATTTCCCTATGCTTCGCAGTATTAGACGGTCTCACAGGACTAAAACAGTAACGTGGTGAAACCTGAATTTTTTTCCTGGATCCGCCCCTGATTTATAGCGGCCATTCAAATCCAGTATCGAGTGGTTCCATATCTGAAAATGTTCATATACCATTACTGCATCGCTGTGCCAAATTTGGTTTTTTCATCATTAAATGCACAATTGTTGTGAAAATATTAGCTATGCCGCTCCACTATAACATCTGAGAAGTTTTTCAGAGAACAGGTGTTTTAGAATAAAACATATATGACGGTGTTGCAAGTGTTCACAGGTCGAACACGTGTAGTTAAGTTACTGTATAAAAGGAAGATATAATATAGAATTTAGTATATTGTGAACTCATAAAAATACTTATAAAATCTGACGTGTTGGTTGTCGACAGTTTTATCAGGGGTCAGTGACCAAGCATGACGACACACACTTTACCCTCATCGGCGACTCCATCAACGTGAATAAAGGTGATGAGATCTCGTTCACCTTCCAAATCCACTACTCTGGTGTGGAGCCTCTCGTTGTCAGCGAGACAGTGAACGGTGTACAGATCTGTGGTAAGTGCCTTATTCCTTACACTTGTACTTTAATATCAATACTCATAGGAAATATTAAAATAAAATTAATAAAGACCTTCAAACAATAGGGACAAGAAAATATATAATTATTGATTAACAAGTGTATGATTCATGAGTTTAAACTATCAAAGTGGGTCATATTTCAAAATGGCACTGCATGTTGATGAGTTGTGCTGCCGCTTGTCAATAGAAAGCGCTGTGGCAAGTAACTTTAGGTAATCTTAGTGTTATCTTAGATCAGTCGAACAAAACGTAATTTTTAGTGAACATCACTTTAACCGGTAACTGCGCGGGTCTAAAAGAGTTTTTGTGCAAGTCAATTTGAGGGTAATGAGGCTCAGTTTAATTGATCATGAAAAATAACATATATAACAACAAGAAAAAGTAAAGGGGATTATTCTGTTTAACATGTGTTGCAATGAACAGATTCAAGGTGAAAAGAGGAGATTTAAGAAAGGGCGAGGAGCTGAAACTGTATATAAGCTTAAGACTGGACAGGCACTGGGAGAAGAGGGACACTAAAAATGAAGAGGAATTGTGAAGATGCAGCACATATTGGGCAGAGAGAGAAAGAGAGAGAGTCTATTCAAGTGGTTGGACATGCTGAGAAAATGAAAACTGAAATATTGGTAAAGAATGTACACGTCAGAGTTGATGGTAGGAAGAAGAGGGAAGGACCAGAGGGAGATGAAAGGATGGGACATAAAATGCACTAGAAGTGCAGGATATAAACGTTCACAAGGCAGCAGGATGTGAGACAGATGTGCATTAATTACAGCAGCTAGCACGAATGAAGGAAAATGTTTCTGTTATATATTCTTGATTCTTACCACCCTGCTATAATATCGGAAAATGCTTGAAAGAGCATTTTATATATATATATATATATATATATATATATATATATATATATATATATATATATATATATATATATATATATATATATATATATATATATATATATATGCAAGTAAATCACTGTAGGTGAGTATTGTATTCTACAGGTGAGAAAGCTTGGGAACTTATATATATATATATATATATATATATATATATATATATATATATATATATATATATATATATATATATATATATATATATATATATATATATATATATATATATATATATATTTCTCCATCTGATGGTCAACCCTTCTCCTTCCTCACTCCCACAGACGCGGTCTTCACTACACCTAAGCCCCTGGAAAACCCTTGTGATGAAACTGACCTGACGCCCTACGACTACAGCCAGGTCAGCCCCTCTTTAACAAAACATCTTTTGGGAGCTTTGTAGCAGTATTGTTTATCTTGTAGTTTGTCAGCACTCTTCAGACAACAAGTAATATGCAGTAAAATAAAAATAAAATATCTACATTTAACTATATTACCACATTATATGTCTGAGAGAAAAAGCCATATCAACCTCATTTTTTCCTGTCTTCATCCGATAATATAATTTTCTTCTCCTACCTCAGTTACAGTACCAGTCCCCAGCTTTTACTATTTGCCTTCAAACTTCTCTGATTGGCCTTCTTCCTTTACAATCCGCTCCTCACTTCACAATTTATGTTTCATGCTTGTCACTTGGTATGCGCTGTTCATGTCAATTGCCTCATTTCCATTACCTTTCGCTTTACTCCTCCTTAATCAGCTCCTAATCTATCGTCCCTTAAATCTCACCATACGATCAAATCTTTCACTCCTTACACCTCACACAGTGAAACACCTCTCATCCTTCACCCTCAGGTACTGTGCATGTCGTACGTGTTCTACGAGGCCCAACGGTCAGGTCCTCTGCCTGCAGATCAGCGCGTCACCTGGCGAGGTGACTCTGCTCTTGACGACGGCTCTGACAACGGCGTAGACCTTGCTGGCGGCTATTACGACGGTAACGAGAGAGAGAGAGAGAGAGAGAGAGAGAGAGAGAGAGAGAGAGAGAGAGAGAGAGAGAGAGAGAGAGAGAGAATACATACTAAAACAAGAAATATCAACAATTTGTCTATAACTTCTCTTGGTACAGCTGGTGACCACGTGAAGTTCGGATTCCCGATGGCCTTCACCGCCACCATGCTGGCGTGGGGCCTCATTGACTTCGCCGACGGACATGAGACTGCAGGTGAGTCCCACTATCTACTTCTTACACGTTCTGAGGATGATATGAGCCCATGTTTATTTCCTAATAATAAATTCAACTGTAAGAACCGAATACGTACACGACTTTTAGTGAGTACAATCTTTAGGATATACTAAGTCTCACACTAAAACACCCAAAGAACAAACTCATGACCCTAGTGTGTCTCCAAGGTACAGTGTTGTGAAAGACTCATGATCCTAGTATGTCTTTCGAAGAGAGTGTTGTGAGAGACTCATGACCCTAGTGTGTCTCCAAGGGACAGTGGTGTGAATTGAATTTGAATTTTGCCGCGGACAGAAGCTAGTTTATTGTGCACCCCATAATCATCCTATGAGCGGTGGCGCCAATAGGATTACAGGGTAGTGGCCACAGAGGGTGTTTATCGTACCTCAGTGATTTTAAAATTATAGCATTGAATGTTACAAAGTATTACCAGTACAATGTTTGTTTAAGTCGGTACATAGAATTTTGATTAGGTGACCAATATATTGACTAGTACCTGTTTCCACTTGTCTGCTGACTTAAATTTCATCAGCAAGTTCTTTTCTAATTACAGTTTTTAAGGTTCTGTATGACAGTCCTTGATTATATTCAACATTGTCATTGCTGGACGTGAGTTTAGCTTAGGCATCAATTCTATCATGTTCACTAATCCCTATGTGAGAGTATATCCACAGCAGCTTGATCCTGATACCCCTGTCAACTTGACACATATACTTGTGTCTGGCTTCAGAGTCAATCTGAGTTTAGGGTATCAAGAGCAGGTAGTGAGTATAAGGAGTCAGTGATGATGAGAATGTCAGTGGCAGTGTCTTCAATAAGTTTCACGGCTGTGAGTATGGCAAATAGTTCAGTTTGCAGAGTGGATGCCCAGGTACTAAATCCATCTCCTTTCTCTATTACATTACCGCTAGGCTGAGTCACAATGACAGCACTTTCAGCCCTCCTACAGACAGTGTTAGGAGAGCCGTCAGTGTAGATGGTCTGTTTGATGTTATTTTCAGTCTGTAGGTTATGTATGTGTTCAAGAGCTTTCACTTTGGCAGTGTGTTGGAGATAAGGATTATGTGTGGTCAATCGCTTTGGCGGGTACTTGGGTGTTGTGATGTCAAACGGAACTGTCCGCCAGGGTGGCAGGAAGCACTGCTGTGTCTCAGCTTTCTACGGATACTCAAATGTGTAGTTGTAGCTTGGATCCATTTAGATTCACCAGTTTCATGACTCAAATATTTTAGCAGTTTCTTTGAAGCAATGTTATCTGGATCACCACGTAAAAGCCTAGTTCCTTCCTCATATTATGTACAGTACTTTGGCGCTTATGGGACAACCTAAAATAAATTTAAGGGCGTAATTTTGCATTTCATCGAGCTTGACAATGCCTTTCCCGTCACGAAAGACCAGGGCTGGTGAGTGGTAATCTATCAGAGATCTTATGCAGCCTAGGTACATTGTTTTGACAATTCTGATATTAGCGCCATAATGTGGGCTGTATCCCGCTACACATTTAAGGGGCTTTAACCTATCAGTACAGTTGCGGGTTAGCTGTTGTATAGCAGCTGAGATACAGAGGAAAGGGACACAGAGATATTTAAAAGAGGAGACATAGTCGAGAACGCGCATGTGTGCCGTGGGTGTCAACAAAGGCTGTAAGAGATTGCTCTTTAAAAGTCGTATTTCTGACGAATTCAGCGAGTCTACTAATCCCAGTATGTGCAGAGAACTATAGTAAGACCCAGTTATCAGCACAGTGGCATCTATTTTTTTTTTTACTTTTGGACTTTGTCATTTTTGTTTGATAAAAACATCTGGTCCTATCACCCGGTCCCTCTGGTAGAAGATTTTCAAGTTTGCGCATGCGCAATGTAAAGTGTGACGTAGCAGTGACGTCTTTACCACTCCACCTCAAACAAGCCAAGCTATCTACCTGACTGCAATGTTGCCAACGTGCCCCATGCCCGCCGTTAAACGCTCCCGTTCGTTGGAGACGGCGGCAGTAGGTGACAGTGATGCTGACGACTTTCATCTTGAAGACAAGTCTAAGAAGCAGAAACCTCAGAAGTCAGGGTCTCTAGCAGGGGTAACGACTCCCTCTCGCAGCCCGTCTGGGGTTGTAGAGGGTGACCTCCTTCTGCCGTCGGGGTCCCCAAGTGAGCTTACATGTGGCTCAATGACCGACCATCCGCCGACGATGGACATTGGGGATTCTCTTCGACTCCCTGCCCCGTCGCGCCTTCGTCGTCTCTCCTTTCCTTGGAACTTGCCTCTGGGCACACGGACGACCTGGTTCTTTCGTCACTGCTCTCCACTTCAGGACTCAACACAAATGGTGTGGGTTTTCCTGCTCCCCAGGGGGAGGTGATGCTGAAGTTCACCACCATCACCCCAGAAACTCGTCGTACCCTGGGTGATCCATATCGACGATCTTCGCCCTCTTCTCCCACAACTACTCGACATGGAGTGCCGCTTCAACTCGGTCTCCAAACGTCCATCCAACAAACTCATCGGCTGGTGGGTGGGCCCCCTCCCCCCGAAGGTGAATGTAGGACCGATTCACAACTGTCCTCTCGATCGATTTATCGGAACCCCGAATACCTGTGGTCGTTGCCACTCATGAAAACACCGCACCTGGGAGTGCACGAGGATGGTCGCCTGCGGTTTCTGTGCAGGTCTTCACGATACAATGAAATAGAAATCGAAAATGCAGAACAAAATCCCAGTTGTTTCACGGTGTGTCAACTGCCATGGCAGTCACCACGCCTGGAATGCCAACTGCCCATAGCGTCCTGGCACTCGCCCAGGGAAGACGTACCTTGTTCCACCGCCCTCGTCTCTGACGAAGCCCCTGTCAACCAAACCTCACTCCTATCTACCACCGCCTCTTCCATCCACCAAGGATTTTCCATTGATCTCCTCTCCTCTACTATCCCCCCCTCTCATCCCTACCATCCATCCTTTCTCCCCTTCCTCCCTCGCCCTACCGTTCTTAGAACAAGGTCATTGCCGGCCCTGCCACACAGTCACCACCGCCTCCTGCCCACCCGGAACCCCGCTGTCTTTCACCAGCACAACCACCTCTTGCTCACCTGAGCCCTCACCTTTTCTCCCCGACACCACCACCTCCTGCCCAGTCGGGCCCTCGCCAATCCTCGCCGCCACCTCCAGCTCCTGCACAGGTACACCAAGTTGGTTTCATGGAAACAATCACTCTCCGTCTGGATCGCCACTCCAAGCAAGTCAACCTCCTCTCTGCCCAACTAAACTCGTTTGTGAAGACAATTGCTACATTGCAGAGGCAATAACAACTCATTCTGGACCCCCTGACCCACCAGGGGCGCACTTTACAAGCCCTGGTGACCCGCCTCCTTCCTTCTCCCGAGATGGAGGATCCATCCCTCGCTTTCCCACTCCTCCCTCTCCAATATCCTCAACAGACTTTGGTACCTCCTCCGGAGCCCTGTCTATCCCCACCGACTCTTCATCTCACACCGGAGGTCGTTCCCTCCTCTTCTTACAATGGAACATCTTGGGACTTAGACCAGTTTGTGCTCTCCCATCAAGTAGATATCGCTTTACTTCAGGAAGCCATCACAGACGATGTTACTCCACTCCGCCTCTCTGGCTATACTGTTTAGACCCTGCCTCGGTACCGTGGGCAGGCTCGTGGCCCCTCACCCTTGTGCGTAACACCATTGCATCTGTTCGTCTCCCTTCACCTGACTCACTTGGACCCCAGTCTGAATTATTTTCTGTCTACTATACTCTTGGTGACCCTTCGTGAAGCCAATGATCATTTCAAGAGTGATTCTCTGGACTCCCAGGTTCTTCACGACTTCCATGACCTCACGACCTCCACTATAGTTCTTGGCGGCTTTAATGCCCGCCATCCCACTCTTACTCCAGATTATCCCACTCCGTGTACCCTTAACGGATCACATCTCTCACAGTTTCTTAATGGAAATGATGATGTTCGCTTTCTTTGTCCTGACGATCCTACTCGCCTCCCCCATAGTTTCCTTGATGTTGGCTTACTATTGAACGGTCATACCTCCTTTCATCCTACCGTCTGCACCGAGCCTGCTCTGTATAGTAACCATCTTGCCGTTACTACCCATCTCAGGCTCTCCTTCTCTGCCCCTACATCAGCTCCTTATCGATCCCCTCGCCTTCGTCTAACACAAGATGCTGTTCCTTCCTTTATCCAATACCTTTCTACCTGGGCGGATTCTTATGTCGTCCCTCAGTCCCTTGACTCTTACAGCGCTGATTTTGTTAATGCCGTGTATAACTCTTTCAATCGCGCTGTCCCTCCAGGCCCTCCCTTTTACCCCAGAAGTGACACCAACTACTGGTATCGTATCCCTGCCATGAGACATCTCCGGCAGGTAACCCGTGATCTACACTCTGCCATACGGAGGTCTCGCTCTCCAGAGGACTGGGAAGATTTAAAAAACTGGTGCTCCCTTGTAACTCAGGAGAGTCTTCCGATTTGTGAGGCTGACTGGCTATCCTTCACCGGGTCTCTATCGTTCCAGTCGTCACCCTCCTACGTATGGAATCGGATTAATGCTATACGGGGTACCCGACGGAGGCCTCCAACCCACCCTGACCCCGCCTCCCTTGCCTGCTCCTTAATGGAGGACTGGACACGAGCTTCCTCCCCTAAGGCACTTCCAGATTCGATGCAGGACGCAGTGCAGGCTCACATCGATGCGTCTGAGCCTGTTGTTCGCGTTGCTCTTACTTCCGTTGCCCTCACTGATCATCCCATCACACAGTTCTAGCTTGACAGTGCTCGTCGCTCTGGAAAGACACCTCTCCTGGGTATGATCAGATAACCCACTCCGTCCTCAACGCCTGTACTAATATTCCTAACGGCCCCTTGCTCGCTCTCTACAATATGTCTTATGAACTTGGGGTTCTCCCGTCTAACTGGAAAAATGCCACTATTATTCCCATCCCTAAGCCGGGAGATCCTGGGAAATATCGACCTATTAGTCTTACCTCCTGTGTTTGCCTTCTTCACACCATAGGCGGCTTCCACAACTCCCTCAATGGTTTCATACAACATCGCAGCACAGCACACTCCATTGCTTCCTTTTATTGCAATCAGACTGCCCGCGTCTCCGTCTTCCCTGATATCAAGAAAGCCTTTGATACAGCTCAGCCTGCCCTCATTTTAGCTGAACTTGCACGATTAGGGGTTAAAAGGAGACTTCTTCGATGGATCGCCTGTTACCTCACTGGACGTCAGGCCCGGGTTTGCGTTGAAGTCTTTATATCCCCTGTTCAAAAAATGAACCTCGGCACCCTTCAAGGTGGAGTCCTGAGTCCCACCTTGTTTAACACTCTCATGCACTCCATTGCATCTCTCCCGTGGCCAACAGAAGTTGTCCACTCAGGATACGCCGATGATGTCTTCCTCCAAGCTCCTGACTACCTCAGCATGCAGGAAGCCCCTTATCGGGTCTCCAGAGAGTGTGATTCACTTGGTTTCCGTCTTTCAATTGCGAAAACAAAAGCCATGTGGCACGGTCGTGTTGTACCCCCCCCCCTTCTCTTATCAGGAACGCCCTTGGACTGGGTTAATGAGACAAAATACCTGGGTGTATATGTAACTCGCACACGTTGTCAGATCCCTGAAGTCCGCTATCTTCGAGACATATGCTTTCGGCCTCTCTACCATGTGCAGGGGTTCCCTTGATGCAACCATCCAGTACTTCTTACCATGTACAAGTCCTTTGTCCGTTCCTGTGTCGACTACGCCGCCCCTGCCCTCATCAACATTAGTCGGACTGCTGTCAACCGTCTCGAAGTTATCAAGAGGAAAGCTACTCGTATCATCCCTGGGGCCCCTCAGTGGACACGCTCTACTTCTATAGATACCGAACTTGATCTCCCCCCCCCCCCTTACAAGATCGGGGCCAGGAGTTTTACCTTAAAACTACCGTTTCCATTCTACGGGAACCTCGGGGCAACTATGTCCAAGCCAACTTGACTCTGCTGTCCGAGACCGACCTCCATCTAGAAGACAGTGACGAGGGTCACTCATCCGAGCCCTTCAGGAACACGATCTCTTGCCTGATATTGTTGTCATCCCTGCTGTTGGTTCGTCTCCTTCTCCCTGGCTGGATTTTCAACCTGAAGTGATTGCCCTCGGTGGACCGCTCCCGAAATCCCATGTGAACCCTGTTATTCTCTGCAAATACCACCTCTCCAGGATCGCCCACTAGTCCCCAGGTAGGGTCGTCCTCTACACTGATGGCTCTGTTCATCCCGCTACAGGTAGGGCCGGAGCTGGTATCTACATCTCCCGTCCTGATGCCCCTGAGCCTATCAAACTTTCTTTCAGAGTTTCTGACGGGGCATCCTCCACTCAGGCTGAACTAATAGCCCTCCTTGCTGCCCTTCTCATTGAGGAAGAAGCCAGTGGTTTCTGCCCCTTGCTTGTCGTCTGCGCTTCCAGGTCGCATTTGGATCGCATTTGGATCAGGGGAAAATAAGGACCTCATCCTCCGAATACGAGGGTTAACATCCACACTTCAGGATGCAGGCCGTCCTGTGACATTCCTATGGATACCCAGCCATGTCGGTATCTTGGGGAATGAGGCAGCAGATGACCTTGCCAAGACTGGCTGTAACTAGGCCACACCTGACTACGTTGTTACTCGAACACTTTTACAGCTTCTGAACCCAAATTCGCCGCAAACAGAGAGAAGCTCGGGAAGCAGCCATCTCCCTGGACTCCCCGCCCACCTGGTACGATGTCCTCCGTAAACTTCCTGTCTATGGGAAAGGGTCGCGGAAAATGGACGTGATTGCTGCCTGTATCATCACTGGGTATGACTTTGCTTGGGAGATAGGTCCCGCATCCCTTGAGAAACGCTCTTGTGCATTATGCAGAAGAACCGACAGCCGCACCCTTGTCCACTACCTCCTAAGATGTCCCCACACACAGCGCTTCCGTGACGCCTGCTGGACCACCACTCCACGACCCCCCTGACGGAGACACGATGATCCTCCCCATACTGGCTAGATATTATATGAATAATATTGATGATGTGTTAAAGGAATATCCTTCCTTCCTTAGTTTGATTTTACAATCACATGTTTATTAAAATCTTATTACTGTATTACGTTACGGACTCACTAGAGTGTGACTGGTTAAATGTGATCTTATATCATCTAAGTTTTAATCTAAGGTGGATCGTTGTTGCGGACATAGATGAGACGCGGGTTGAGTTGTTGTAGTGAGGGCAGACTCCGTGGCCACCAGGAGTTGTTGGGTAGCCCTCTGTTGATGTATTCCCCGCGTAGGTGGTCTGGGCTGTGAGGGTCGTCCAGGAGCTTGTCCCAAACCTTCCCTGATGGCCTCCTTTTTATTTCCCAGGTGGATGGTTTCCACTGTCTCCTGGAAGGGTGGCGCTTGGCCACTGGCTGACCTCAGGCACTTGTTTTGGAAGCTCTGTAGTTGTTGTAGTCTGGTCTTCCCGAGTGTTACGAGTGGTACGTGTGGGTACTCCAACACAGACTTCACCAGCGCCTTGTACAGGTGGACATGTTTCTTCTCAGGCATCATTTTAAAATGCTTTAATATGGCGGCGGCGACTTTGGCTTTCTTTAGTCTGTCCTTCACGTGGGAAATGATGCCCGTCCGAGAGATGATGAGGCTGAGCAACCTGTCTTGTTTAGAGTACTCACTCTCTTCGTCGTCGATCTTCAATGGCGCCAGCTTGAAATTGGCTATGGGTATGACCTCGAATTTCGTTTTGTGTTTTTTATCTTCCATTTATTTCCATTCCCCGAGATATCCTCTATTGCCCGAGCAGTGAGTCGCGCCATCCTTGTCGTGGACCTTCCTAGACAGGTGACGATCTGTGTCACATCGTCGGCATACATAACATACTCGCTGTCAACGATTGGGGGGTGGCACTCTTCTCCACAATGTTCTTGCATCTTGATTTTGGCTCTGCAGTCCATAATGAAGTTGCGCAGCAGGCGCGTCAGGTTTTCGGGTAGCCCCAATTGTATGATCGTATACTGCAGCCCCGCGTGCCCAACTTTGTCAACCGCCTTGCTGACGTCCCTCCCTCAGCACTACGTTGCACTGCAGGAGGCTAGTCATGGCGTTGGCGATCTGCTCATAAGCCTGTGGTGTAGCAGTGGATGTGCCTCGGTACTGGAGGAGATGATGCACGTCTGCTGGTAACAGCTGGTACTGTCGGTTAGGTGCGGTGGTGCCCTGTAAATCAGGGGTTGTCCCTAGGTGGCTCCCCTATAGCAGTAGAGCTGCCTGACACCTGCCTATATGACCCTGGTGTGTCTCCAAGGGAAAGTATTGTGAAACTCATGATCCTGGTGTATATCCTAGGTTCAGGTTCAGTGTTGTGAGAGACTCATAATCTTGGTGTGCCTCCCACAGGTCAGGCGGAGTACGGTGAGGCAGCGCTCAAGTGGGCCACCGACTACTTCCTCAAGGCTCACACTGACAAAAACGAATTCTATGGTCAGGTCAGTTGGAGAGTTTCTTTATTATGCACAATAATTTTATATCTGTCGGTAATATAGTGATTATAACTGAATAGTAAGCATTTATTTGTAATCTAAGACATTGTGAAAATCGTGATAAACATGTGGATATTCTTGCTAATAACGACTGTAACAAAGATATACAGGACATACACACATGAAACATATTTGTTGAATTTTTAGGTGGGTTCTGGCGACCTTGACCACTCCTACTGGGGACGACCTGAGGACATGACGATGGAGCGACCTTCATATAAGATTGATGAAGCTCACCCAGGTTAGTAAGTCGAGGCGCTGAGAAGTTGTGTCCTGTATGTTCTGTGTTGACGGTCTCCGAGAACTGTATTATAGGGCATGTGAGTCTCACGTTCACACACACACACACACACAATAAAAGTCCTTGTTGAGATGTTGTCGTTACTGCCTGTATGAGTTTCTGGGTTTCAACATTAAAGTATTTTTGTACACATCTCAAGTGGGGCCCATGCACTACTTTTGAATATTACGGAAATATATGTTTCCTGTAGAAATGTTAAATATCTGCCTGACATTATACTCAACTAAGAAGCTCCTGTCTCCTTCCTCCAGGAACTGAGTTGGCCGCTGAGACAGCCGCTGCCCTCGCTGGCGCATCCATGGTCTTCAAGGTAAATTATTTTCTTATTTAGCTTTTGGTCCTGTTTTCCCACCTGCAAAATCTGGTCATCTTGTTTTCTGATGTTCATGGCGGTTCACTTCACTTGTAAATACTTTTCCTCCCACCGAGGAAACTGAAGAGGGTATGGTACATTGTACGATTTTGATGCTTTCTGACTTTTTGGAAAAAAATTTAAATTTTTTTTTATTTTATATCCTTACACCTTGGGAAACAGTACCTGAGTTCGTTCCATTTTTATAGCTCTAAGGCGGCCATCTTGAATTATCACCAATGTAAGTCAGTTTTTGCCATATCTCGAATGTCAAATTAAAAGTAAAAATATATATAATTTTGGGTTGTAGAATCTGCTAAAATGTGTTATAACAATATACAAATAGCACAGTAAAAATGCCTCTATATAGGCTTGCTAGTAGGCTGTTTAAGTTTTTCGAGCTTATAGTGAACTGAAAATTCCTGGCATTCCACATGCCATAAAAGCTTACATTTTCTGATCAAATAGTGGTAACAATAAGCAGTTTCACACAAGTTAAGGTTGCACATATATGCTTTAATACAATTAATATTGAATAAACACGAAAATATTAATGTCTGATATGAATAGTGCTAAGATTTACTGGCAGAAACACTTATACACTCTAATAGAAAATATGAAATATCAAAAGTTACTTTAGCTTTCAGTGTAGAGTAAATAATGTAAACAGTTGCCTTCATTAGATTTTAAGTCGTTTGTTTCCTGTATATCACTTCGGAAGACTTTGTTCTGACAACCCTCCTCACCCTTACAGTTGCACATATCTGTGCAAGGCAGGTTGTTCTGTTTTAAAGTGTTTCTTTTTTATCATTGGCTGATACTGAAGCCGCATTTTACCTTCTCCAGCAAGTGATTCTGAGAGTTTGGGCATCATTTTGCCATTTGATGCTTTTGCCCACCTAGCTGGCAGGGGTCTGGGTCTTTCAGATGGAGCACAATGTCTTGGTACCATATTATGAAAGCTTGCATGTGAACATTAAGAATAATTTGATGTCATGCGCCAGATATTAGTGATTTTTTCAACTCTTAGATCCCCTGTTTGCAACATAAAATGGTTCCATAGACGGGGTGGGTAGTAGCGGTGTTGCCCATCAAAAGGGATCCTACAGGTACCCGTCCGCCATTACCAAAAACATAAAAATGCTATTTCTGTTATTTCCATTTGGGGAATATTTAATTAATCATGTCACAGAAGATTATACCACCAACTTAAAATCCTCCATGCAGTGCAAATCATCACACACACACACACACTCTCTCTCTCTCTCTCTCTCTCTCTCTCTCTCTCTCTCTCTCTCTCTCTCTCTCTCTCTCTCTCTCTCCATTAAGACTCGAGATCTATGCATTATCTGCTGGAGGTTAGGAAAAATTGTGCTAGTATATCACGTTTGGATAACAATGGAACATGTAGATCCAGTCACACGAAACTCTAGCTACCCCTGCACTCGAGGATGGTTGTTCTTCTTTTCCCAAATGTGTCAAATGTGGTGACGGAGATTGATAGAAAACTTTAAATGCCATATTTTTCCCTTGCCACGAATCTGTCTGCAAGTATCACACCCTGTTAATACAATGAAAGCCTGGAAAAACTGCAACGTTTGAAGCACCTTGACACTCATAGGTTGGCTTCAACATGACTTTCCTTTGCCAATCTCCTTCCCAAGTATTAGTGTTGTTTTGTGTCCAACTATCGGATATTTTCTAAGAGCCAATACATTTACATTACTTTTAACATGAAGTCGAGTCACTGTAACCATTGGTGTGTTGAGCTGGAGGGTTTTGTCAGCAAGATACATTGTCAGAGAATCCTTTATGTTATTAGCCAAAGGCATTGTCGGTTTTTTGGATAGGTGTAGAATCTAAAACACGGAACCCACAAGATGCCGTGCCTGGATGTTAGCCATGTCGCATTATATCCTTCACAGTTGTCAAATATCAGTCGACCTCCTTCATACCCTCTACTCCTTGCTTCTATGACCCTATTAAAACATTGGTAAGTTCTTTGCTAGTTTTTGGTTGTGCTGCTGAAATAAATTCATGAGCAATTGACTTTCCATCAATAATGAGATATGTATTATCAAGTGCTAGGTCGTCAAATGGTTGATATTCTTCTTGTAACTGGAGTTTTTCCAGAACATGCAGGAGTTCACTTTTATTTTTGTAAAGAATAATTAATCCATCGGAGTGCTTAAGACTGGCATTGGTAGCTGTGAAATCATAGCATGATATCACTTCCTCAAGATCTATCTGACGATTTGACTTTGCAACTGTGAGCATAGGAGCAAAGTGAATTTGTTGTTTTCAGTTCAACATTGCCTTTGGTAGCCTTCAGTTTAACATTTATGCAAGCATCTACTAGTTGAGAAACTTTTATATCTTCATTGCATCCATTAGATTTGTGGAACCACAAATACGTTGCAAAACAAATGACTGAATTGTACTTTGTTCACTTTTTCCATGTTTAATATGTCTTCTTCAATATTCTTAAGTAACACCTGCTTTGCCGTGATGATGTGAAGCCTGGGTGAAGTGTTGGCAAATGGGTTACAAGGTTCAAGCACTGTCATCAGTTGGTTAACACATTTCTCTCAATGCAGGAATTTGATGATGATATTTAACTGCTGTAGCCATTCCAATAATTTATTAAAACTCCGTAAGCAGTCTTGCTAGTTTAGGATCAGAAATACAGAATCTGAGGAGTGTTACAGGCCTATTAGTTATTCCTTTAAAACCACCTTCACATTTGAGGATTTGATTGAGGAATTAGTGTCTTTAATCAACACCTGTACCCGTAAAAGGTATGTGATTTGTTTTCAGGGCAAAATCACCTGCTAGCAACTTTTCCCGCGACGAATTGATAGTATTATTTAAAAGTTTGTATTTTACATTTAAGTATAAATTTAGTCTGAAAATTTTGAAAAAAAATATCCTCCTACAGTGGTCTAATAACCGATTTATATTAGTTTTACGTGAATATAACATGTTTTATTTGATTCTACACCCTAAATTATGCATATTTTTACCTATCATTTTCCATTTTATGTCAATGAGCTGCCGAGTTATGGCAGAAATTGTATTACAGTGGCAGCCATATTGGATTTCATGATGGCTGTCTTATGGGCATTATAAAAAAAATGGATCCAATTCAAGATTCTGTATGTTCCTTAGGTTTTAAGGATTAAAAGAAAAATTTCATGACAAAATGTATCCAAAAACTCAGAAAGCTTACACAGCGTCATTGACTAGAAGTTTAGAAACTTGATTGTGTGATGCTGCTCTTTTAAGACCTGATGCTGCTGTTGATGTAGTTGAAGTTCTGTATTAATGAGTACATGGCTCACTCTGCGTTGCATATTTTTTGCTTAATGCGTTGCAACTTATATATATATATATATATATATATATATATATATATATATATATATATATATATATATATATATATTTCATTAACCCAAAAACATGCGGACTTCTACATGCAATCAACACCTCAACTAGCAAGGATTCGAACCCACGGCCCACGAGCATGATCTGACCGGGGAACGCTAACCGCTGGACCACCAGGATACTAAAGCAGTCCTAGACTCTGTTATATATCACACAAAACCTGTTCAACGAGCTTATGGCGCCGTGAACCTCTATATGGGGACTACCCGACACGTAGGTAGTCAGAGTAACGTTTTACCAAATCCGGCCAAACATGAGGATCCATATATATTTCATTAGCCGAATAAACATGCGGACTTCTACATACAATCAACACCTCAACCCGCCAGGATTCGAACCCACGGCCCACGACCACATGACTGTGACCGGGGAACGCTAACCGCGTGTTTATTGGCTAATGAAATATATATGGATCCTCGTGTTTCGAAGCCTGCTTTGGTAAAACGTTACTCTGACCACCTACATGATACGGGTAGTCCCCATTAGAGGTTCACGGCGCCATAAGCTCGTTGAACAAGCTTTGTGTGAAATATAACAGAGTCTAGGATTGCTTTTAGTATCCTGGTGGTCCATCGGTTAGCGTTCCCCGGTCACAGTCATGCTGTGGGCCATGGGTTCGAATCCTGGCGCGTTGAGGTGTTGATTGTATATATATATATATATATATATATATGTATTCTTATGTTTTGTATTCTCAGGAAAATGACCCAACCTACTCCGCCACGATGCTGGACGTTGCCAAGGAACTCTACGACTTCGCTAACAATTTCCGTCTGACCTACGATGTATCTATCCCTGACGCAACAAACTTCTACCAGTATGTGGTGAACATGTATAATGTGCTGTGTACTTTGGCGAATTTTTGATGATCTGCTCTCATGAGCTTATGCGTTGTGCTTTGGTAAACAAATGTTCAGCATTGTAGTGCATATGTGTTGTGTATAGTGAAAACAAAGCATATTTACTGTGGTTAACATTCGTCATATAATACATGGTGTGGTGAAAATGTGTTATGTACTGTGGTGAATATATGTAATGTACATTGTAGTGAATATGTGTCGTGTTTTGTGGTGATTACGGTGTCATGTGCTGTTGGGTGCATCACTTATGGTTGGTATTGCGTAGATCACATGAACAGTACTTCATTTCTTATATGTATTAATATTTCATGCTCATTACTATAGAGGAACATTTGATTGGTAAAGACATTTTAAGTTTTTCAACTTAGATAAATTATTAAATAAACTTAAACTTAGTCTTGTTTGTGATATAGTGTAGACAAGATCTTACGTATATTCAAAATATTCTCAGCACACGGAAACCCGGGGAGATCTGCAAGCATACCAACGTATTTGATATCTCAGAAATATTTTGCTTAAGAAACAACCGCGTCCCGTCAACTTTCCTATTTTTCTGTCTAACCAGAAGATGTGTGTGTGTGGTCATTTTGATTATAGTTTTACAATCTCATTTTCAGATTTCAAATACAGATTTGCCGTTTAAAGTAACATGACACTAAATGTGATTTCATGTTATTCATTCCTAACTCAAAATCAAAGCAATATAGGAAACACCAATCTCTTAGTGCTGAAACTTACACTCAGGGGATGGGATAATCACTTCAAACATCCAGCAGAATGTTTGACTGTCATAACTTTCTTGCTGAGTCAATATTCATCTACTAACCATAGCAACGAGTCAATGAACGCCTCCTAGAGTCAATATATCAATAAACTTAGTAACAGTGCCAGTGAAAAAGAGTGAGTCTTTCATCTCCTTATCTTTGTCTCTTAAACTGTTCATCCTCTATAAATAGAATCTCCACTGTCGTGTGATATCCTGTTCCAACATTGATGAAAAGGTGTCTCAATCATCTTCGGTAAAATTCATTCAGAGTTATAAATCTGACCCCTAAATACGAACAGTTTCTTCACTTGCAGTGTTCTCAAAGGTACAAAACACATAACCACCATCTTGCATAAATTACTGCAGGACGGTTTCAATTGTATTACTTTTGTCATTATTATATGGCAAGAAAAAACTAGTTAGTTCCTGAAACACGTCATCAATATCACGAGTTCACTAACACCAACAAGAATCATCACCAGGAGCTTTATATCACGCACAAGTAAAAAACATGCCATAACTAGGTAACACCAGCAGACTAATATCATTAGCAGTTCAGTAGCACGGAAATCAGTAACATTCGGGAAGCCAGAGTCGCCAATAATTAATCAGTAACATCAGCAATCCAGAATCAGCAGCGTTACAAACGTCATCTGGACCATATTAGCAGCATATTAGTAACCGCAGTTCAAAAGTGACTGTAACCTTACCCTTTCTTAGCTCTTGGAGTGGGTACGGTGACGAGCTCTGCTGGGCGGCACTGTGGTTGGCACGAGCTACTGGCGACAATACCTACCTCACTAGCGCCAGAGGCCATTGGGATGAGTTCCACTATACAGATGACGATGTTGTCCAGTTCTCCTGGGACGACAAAAGAGCCGGAGTATACGTAAGTTATTTCTAAGGAGTAACTCTGGTATTAATGTTTTGGCTATTTTCTGGATTACTGATTTGCTATAAGCAATAACTTCTATGTATTTCTCTCTTTTGGAAAGTTCTCACTGGCCATAAACGATCGTACAGATCATAAAAGTTCATATAAATGAATAAATTCATAAAAAAATAACTTAGCAGACTTAACCTAACCTAATATGGGTATAATTTACCAAATATATATATATATATATATATATATATATATATATATATATATATATATATATATATATATATATATATATATATATATATATATATATATATATATATATATATATATATATATATATTTTTTTTTTTTTTACGGGGATTAGCCCACCTGGACACAGGTCACTGACCCACATCAGGCCTGGGGCGAAAATGTAATAATAATAATAATAATAATAATAATAATAATAATAATAATAATAATAATGATAATAATAATAATAATAATGATAATAATAATAATAATAATAATAATAATAATAATAATAATAATAATAAATAATAGTCATAATAATTCATAATAAATAAAATTTATGATAAAATAAACAAAATAAAATAATAAAATAATGATAATAATACAGTAACTGTAATAATAATATTAATAATAAAGAACTATAAATACAAAAATGAAAAAAAAGATCAAAAGTGAGAAACGATATATGTATGTTGTGTTGTCAATGGTAAGAGAAACAATTGAGACCCTGCAATTGCGTGTATATATATATATATATATATATATATATATATATATATATATATATATATATATATATATATATATATATATATATATATATATATATATATATATATATATATATATATATATATATATATATATATATATATATATATATATATATATATATATATATATATATATATATATATGGGTGGTCCCCATTAGAGGTTCACGGCGCTATAAGCTCGTTGAACAGGCTTTGTGTGAAATATTGCAGAGTCTAGGACTGATTTTAGTATCCTGGTGGCCCAGAGGTAGCGTTCCCCGGTCACAACTAGAAGATCGTGGGTTCAAATCCTGGTGGGATGAGGTGTTGATTATCTGTAGAAGTCCGCGTGCTTTATTGGGCTAATGAAATATATATGGACCCTCGTGTTTCGAGGCCTCATTTGGTAAAACGTTGCTCGACCACCCACGTGATACAGGTAGCCCCCCATTAGAGGCAAGTTCACGGCGCTACAAGCTCGTTGAACAGGCTTTTGTGTGGAAAAATAACAGAGTCTAGGACTGCTTAGTATCCTGGGTTGGTCCAGATAGCTCGTCACAGTCATGGGCTCAGGCCGTGGGGTCTGAATCCTGGCGGGGGTGAGGTCGATTATGTGTAGAAGTCCGCTGGCTTATTGGCTAATGAAATATATATATATATATATATATATATATATATATATATATATATATATATATATATATATATATATATATGTATATATATATTCAGGGTCACAAATACACAAATATCTCTAAAACATAGCAGAAAAAATGAAATTTTGGTAGACTCATGGTGACTCATAAATGTATGAAGCTATCTACCTGTGTAGGCTTTCTGTTAACCTTAAATTTATATTTATGTCCTTTTCTCATTATAAGCATATCAAGAAATGGAAGCGATCCATTTATCTCTTTTTCAATTTTGAAGGTAATTCTAGGGACAAGATAATTAAGCTTGGCTAAGCTTGTCTAACGTCGGGACTCGAAAATACGTAATGTGAAAAATATTTTATACGACCATGGCCGTCATATGTCCGGTTGTCGTAAGTCGAATATGTCGTAAGTTGAGGAGAGATTGTAATCTAGCCTCAAAAAAATCCATATAAATATAGGCTAATGGAGCACAAAGACAATTACCCATGCTCATGCCAAATATTTGTTTGTAAAACTTTCCATTTGCTCTAAAAACTTTGTCAGTAACGCATAACTCTATCAATTTGAGAAATGTATCATGTTCAACAGTTAAATCTAACAGAGGCAACTTATCTTTAAAGATTGAAATTTGGTCATTCTCTGGTATTCTAGTGAAAAGTGAATTTACATAAAAACTAATTAATTCACATAGTTCATTGTGTATCTTGAGTTTATCAATTAAATCACTGCTGTTGTGTATATGTGAATTAGATATCTGGCCTGTAAGAGGGGATAGCATCCTAACCAACCACTTGGATTATTTGTACGTAACAGAACCCACAGAACTCACGATAGGACGTAATGGATTATTAAGTTTATGTGTTTTGATCAATCCATATGGGATTGATATGAGAGAACTGTTTGATGAGATCTGGGTTCTTTTTCAATAACTCCTTCATTTTGGGGTTAGATAACTTATTAAAATATTCCAGGGATCTTTTCTAAGCTCACAATAAGTGCTTTCATCACATAGTAATAAATTCATCTTATCATTATAGTCACTTTTATCCAAAATTACAATAGCACTGAACTTTTCAGCCTTAGTAATATGGATATTCATAGTTCTTTTCAAGTTTTTCATGGCTGTTTCAAATCATTTTGGAATGTTTGAAACCATTTTCTTACGTAAAACACTATGTATACAACCTTTAGCAGTGGAAATATCTTCATTTGTAACATCTATCGACTTATACTTTTCCAGGCTGATTATGCCTTTAGCAATATTATGTGGATTAACGGTGCGATGAGCAATAGAAAACTTCCTCACTTTACAACGTAATCAAATTATTTAAGTTGCTTATGTTTGTTATGGTCATGCAGGATGCAATTAAATAATTTAGAAAGACAGGAAATTTTTAAATTACTTTCCTATATAGTTAATAAATAAAAAATAATATATTTCGCACGAGCAAACTCTTATTGCGTTAAGTTTGGTGTTATTCAACCTTTTCTTTCAATGGCATATGCAAGCTTACATTTAATGTAATTAATTTCTTAATTGGATTAAAAGGAAATCAGCGAGAACACCACAACATTGTTCTAGGTACACGGCCAAACTCTGTCAACAAAATGACTGGAGAGTAGGTTGAAAGTTTGGCAACTAATTCGAACAATAATTTGTTGTTGTTGTTGTCCAATGCAGTCGCTCTTCTGGACGTTGGACGGTTCCAGTGAGTACTCTGATCCCCTCAAGACCTACCTGGACTGGCTCAAGGACGGCGCCCAATACACCCCGGAGGGTCTTGTTTTTCTGGACACTTGGGGCGCCAACCGCCACGCTGCTAACGTCGCCTTTATCTCTCTCTATGTCAGTTCCTCCTTAAAAACTGTGTAATCATAGCTCAATTTAGGCAGATTACGAATAAAACTAATGAGCATCATTTCCCTTATATAAAGGTAAAATGAGAAGATAAAGTTTTGCTTTACTGGTTTTGAATCTGTTACTTTCTTGAAAGATGTGTAAGGAAACACACACCATGTCTTCTATATTAAATTAGAAAATACTACCAATGATGCTACATAACCTAAGTTTTCGTGGCAGGATTTAATATGATATTATATCTTGAATCTCTCAGGCCGCCAAGAATGGTATGAACACTAATGCTAACCAAAAGTGGGCGAAGGAACAGATCGGTCAACTGTTGGGAGACAACTCCCGTTACAACAGGTCCTTCGTGGTGGGCTTCGGCGAGGACCCCCCTCAGAGGCCCCACCATCGTTCCAGGTACACACACACACACACACACACACACACACACACACATATATATATATATATATATATATATATATATATATATATATATATATATATATATATATATATATATATATATATATATATATATATATATATATATATATATATATATATATATATATATATATATATATATATGCAAGTAAATCACTGTAGGTGTGTGTGTGTAGAGAAGGCTGATAACCACAAGGAAAGAAGAAGATGTGAATTACACGAAAAGCGCTTTGGGAACCTTCGTGTTTTCTTTCTTTCCTTGTGGTTAATAAAGGGCATATATATATATATATATATATATATATATATATATATATATATATATATATATATATATATATATATATATATATATATATATATATACCTCCTTACGTCTGGGAAGATATTGGAAGCATAATGAGTTCTCTAATGGTAGACCCTTCTGCCAAATGGCATCACAAAAATTGTGACCAAGTACCAGGTTGCTAATCTGACTTTCTGCCTCATTTACACACAGTTGCTGAGTCTCAATTGTTTCTCTTACTTTGACAACACAACATACATACTGTACAGTACATCGTTTCTTACTATTGAATTTTTTTATTATTACTATTATATATTTATTTATTATTATTATTATTATTATTATTATTATTATTGTATTTTCGCCCCCAGGCCCTGTATATATATATATATATATATATATATATATATATATATATATATATATATATATATATAACCACAGGGAAAAAGAAAACACGAAATTCGTGTTTTCTTTTTCCTTGTGGCCATCAGCATATACCTGGATCACGCGCACCTACAGTGATTTACTTGCATATGTATACACACATTTTTTTTTTAATTTGTTGTTTATACTAATTGATACAAGAAACTCTTAAAATGTGCTTATATCTATCCTCTTAACCACTAACGGAAATTTGCTTAGTCTAAGTCTCAGATCACACGAAGGGTCCTTCCTAAACTATAATTTCTTCCTCAGCTCCTGCCCAAACCCTCCGGCAGACTGTGGAGGCGCCTTTGAGAACCCCGGCCCCAACCCCCATGTTCTCTACGGTGCCCTTGTCGGTGGACCAGCCCAGGTTAGCCACACTAGGTCACGTGTTTGGGATGAAAATAGGACAATTAGTCTTCATGAATTTTGCAGAAAGAGACATTATTGTTATTTATAAATATTTCAACAGCGTCCCCTTGCATACTCTAATTTGTAAGTCCCTCCCCAGACGTGGTAATTCTTTTATACCTCCTATATATGTACTGACAACGTCCCTATTTACCCAGAATGGCGATTACAAAGACGACCGCAAGGACTTCACTCATAACGAGGTGGCCTGTGACTACAACGCTGGCTTCACAGGGGCTCTGGCTGCCCTTATCGAAATTAGTTAGGCCGGGACGGCCTGTCTTCTGACAAAGCCATATGGGATTGACTCCTTGACTTATATTTTGTTCTTAATATTTCTATTTCAAGTGTATATTTTTCCTTGATTATTACGATGTTTAATTTCGTGATTAATAAATGCAGCAGAATTGCAATGATTTTTCTGTCTCTTTCTCTTGACTCCTGCACAGCGTACAGTACAGTTGCGGTAAAAAATTCGCTCCTGCCAAAAATGAAGCAGCAACGACCCCAAATGAGATGAAACAATTCGGATAAGTCATTTCGGAGACTCGTTCCCGAGACTCAGTTTCACCACGAGGAGCAAACTTTTGTCCGTGAATGTACATCAGTGTAAAGGCCAAATAGGATCTTTGATGGGAGACCAATCAATTTTGAGGTGTTAAAGGAAAATTTTTCCATAAAAAATCTAAATTTATATACAATAATATAAACACAAAATTAATATAATAATTAAGTTACTTGGGGAGTATCCTGATCTGCCGACAACTGAACATCAGGTACAATACAACAGCTCTGCCGACGAGTCTGTCAGTAGTGGTGTAAGGAGGCGTGAGGTCGACCGGAGAACAGAGGAATTCCAGCTCCGCCGAACAGCATACTTGTTACGACCCTAGGGTAGATCGTTGCATAAGCACAAATTACTTAAGTCTTTCAACTATATCAGTATTTATTATTATATTATTAATCCCACGTTCTCCCAACAAAGGTCAAGTAAACAGGTCAAAACCTCAACAAGTCAATAAAAATATGAGCATTTATTTACCTATTGACATTAGTTCCACTTATCTAACCTCTATACAAACCTCTATACAATAAAATATAATATACTCAAACATAATATATTAACTACACAAAGTAATAAACAAAGTTAATACAGTACTTAAATCATGAATTATTCAGTGTGGACGAATAATGAGATAAACTGCTCGAGCTAACCACTCACCATGCAAACCACCGTAACATCCTCCTCCTTACCAAAGGAGTTTACTAACAAAAGGGGAAAACATTTATACCTCACGGGGCAGGGTGTCTGCCAAAATATTGTTGTTCCCTTTAATAAGTTTTACTTCTATATTGAAGGGTTGTAGTGCTAAAGCCCACCTAAGTAACCTAGGATTTTTATTTCTCATCCTCTGTACAAATTGTAGGGGTTTATGATCTGTGTACACCTCTATGGTGTATGGTGAACCCTCAACATACACTGCAATTTTTTCTAATGGCAACAAAAGCCCCAAAGTCTCTTTCGCTATCTTGGCTTAACCACGATGATGTGGTTTTAGTTTCACACTGTGGAAGCAAACTGGGTGTAGTATATAATTTTTAAACTGTAGCAATACAGCACCCACACCCGCATCATAGGTATCAACTTGAATCATTAAAGGCTTGTCAAAATCTGGCACTTTTAACACTGGACTTGAAGTTAATAGGTGTTTAAGGGTTTCAAATGCAACCTGACATGCCTTTGTCCACAAATACCTTTTTTTTGGGGCTGACTAAGTCTGTCAAAGGAGCCGACACTTGCACAAAGCTCTTACAAAATCTTTGGTAGAATCCTGCCATACCGAGGAACCTAGGCAGAACTTTTCGATCTGCAAGAGGCGGGATTCGCTGTAGAGCCTCTGTCTTTGCATTGACTGGACCCACAATCCATTGCCACCACATGGCCAAGGTAGGTGAGGGTTGCATGGCAAAACTCATTTTTAGCCAGGTTAACAGTGAAGTTGTACTCCGAAAGGCGGGTGAAAAGGGCACGAAGTCGCTCTGTGTGTTCCTCCTAAGTAGCTGCTGTCACTAGCAGGTCATCCAAGTAGACAGAGACACCAGGAAGCCCAGACTTCACCACATTCATAGCCCTCTGGAATGTTCCAGGGGCACTGCGAAGCCCAAAGGGACCTTGTACTACCAAAGCCCATCAGGAGTGACGAAGGCAGTAATTCTTTTTGATTCCTCCGTCAGCCTTACTTTTTATTATTTCTCCTAAGACTACCACATAACTTTGGCAGAGCTAATTCTACACCTAGAATAGGACCAATTAAATATTTATTTAGTGTTCATATATTTGTTTTTCTTGTCTGAAATTTAATCTTACCATCTTGATTGAGGTATGTGCTGTAGTAGGGTGTGTCATACGGAGGCGAATTTTTTTTTTTTGAGTTTGAAAAATCGGCCCATGGTATTAATGATGTAGTTCTATGTGCAGAATCATGTGATATCTTCAGATTTGAAAAGTTTTTATTTTTTGCTAGGTAAATTTTAACTTGAAATCTTATGAAAATTCAGTATTCCCACCCTTTTACCAACACCACTAAATAGCTTATTTAAAGTAAAGTAAATGTATCAGGTTAATTTATTAGGATGAAAATGATCCAGAATAGTGAAACGAATGATCTTGACACATTTATTAAATTTAATATTCCTTTAGAAAACAAAATCATCAAATACAAAAACCGGTTTTACTACTACGACCCGGTGTTGCTGCACACCATAGAGAACATGTCTTTCTTGCTTCTGTTTCTACTCATCGCCTCCCTGCTGACCACCTGAGCTCGGATGTAGCCTTCCCTCCTCTCCTGGCTGTACACGTGACTGCTGGCCTCGCTCACTTGCTGTACACAAGGCTCTATACTCTGGGTGTGCGAGGGCCAGGCAGGGACATGCATGGGGTTGTCCAGGAAAGCTCTGACTTGAACATTGGTGAGGCTGCAGGTAAGAGGGGGCTCACTGCCAGCCTGGATGTTATCCAGATCTATGAGATCAGTGAGGGTCTTGGCACCTAGATTGACTTCAGGAGTCTTCCTGACCCTGAAGGAATTGTCACCAACTGATTCGTCATGCCCAGATCCTCTCATAAGTCTCATATCCAAGATCTTTTGACTGCCACTCTTCTCTCCTCCTCATCCTTACTGCAGAGCATTGTCTGCAGAACTGCTCTCGGGATGAGAGCATACCAGGAAGATCTCCTCACAGTCTGCTCCACAATCTGGAACAACCTTCTTGGCTGACCTCAGGAGCCTTCCAAGCTGGAAGAGAACATGCCCTCGACCTTTCGGAGAACGTATGACTTGACCTTGGTGTTGAACCACCCTGGCAAGTAGACACTCTCAATTTATGATCTGGGACAATAAGTCTCAGGTTGTGAAGCTGGTTCCCTTTCAGTTTATGATGAGCGACCCAAATTCTGCAGAACCTGAGCTGTTGTGAGCTACCTCCAGAATGTGAGATTGGACTCATTCGCAGGTAAGCAAGTCTATCAGGCATGACCCCAGTTTTGATGGCACTGCAAATTATAAAATCATAGTACTGGTCAGTACTCAGGTCGTCAATGACAGTATGTGCAAGCTCAACGAGTGGAGGGCCAACTGTGATTTTTTCAAAGCTCGGATTTATTTCTAACCCAGTGGCAGAGTCCAGCATCTTGCCAAGAGGACCAGACCATCTGTTGTTTGAAAGAGTCTTGCCATCCAACTCCTGGATCAGATGTCTGAGTGGCAACTCGTTGGTGTGGAGGTCACAAACAATCCAGACCAGCTTCCTCCCAATCTTCCGCTCTATCCACTGTATGACCCCCCCTTGCCACCCTGTGTTCGTGTTGGTGCTGTCCCCTCCAATGGCCTGCAGGGTCTGGTCTACGTTCCTCTCTCTGAGCCAGTTCACAATGTTATCTGCCACTATCTCAGCTGGTTTCCTGATGTCATCTTTCTCTGGAGTGAAATGCCACAAATACTTCCCTCCTGGTTCACTGCAGCAGGAGTAGTGTTCCTCCTTCACCATGGCAGGGAACAACTTGTCAGAATCTCCAACTTTCATGAACACTTTAGTGTCATCCCTTCTCCCATCAAAGAACAAACAATTGATTCCATTTTCTCTTATCCCCTTATCAAACTCCTCTTCTAGGTTACTGACAAGTTTCTCCTGAGCTCTCCTTACTTTGTTATGATCTATCACCAGGTGAACATCATCAGCTGTTATCAAACCACCGTCAACCCAGGCAGCTGTTGCTATCTCTGCAGTTTCTCTGAGACCAGTGTGGTGTCGCATGCTGGCCAGAGCTATGCTCGATATCTTTCCTATTTCGAATTTTATGCCTGGAAGGTTTGGGATCATTATTTTCTGGGTTAGGGACAAAGTCACCATTCTCCTGGTCAGCACTCGGATCAGCCATGGGGAAGTCATTAAACTCTGAATCAGCTTGACTCCAATCATCGGCCTTTTTTACCTCACCCTGGGCCTTCTCAAGTCTCTTTTCCTCGGCAACTCTTCTCCTCTTCTGTCTCTCTGTGGCAGCCTCCTGTCTCTTGGACTCCGGAATATCTTGGCTAGAAATCATGAGAGCCCCTATACTGCCAGTCTTCTCTCTCTGTGCTTTGACAAATGCCAGTTCGATCACAGGAATCTTCAGTTCATGCTTGCAAATACAGGAGATGTGGGCCTCGGATTTACAGTCACGATCGCATCCAAACTGAGGACAGAGAACAATTGGGCACTTGCAAGTAATTATGTCAAATAACTGGTCCAGTTGCTTGGCAAAGCTGTCCTTAACTGCAAGTTTTCCTCTCCTAAGAGAGATATCTCTTGCCTTTTCCCAACTGGCTAGCAGTCTCTCACTAATCTTCTTCGACTTGTTATGACTGGAGGCTTGAACTGAGCGTTAGCCAGAGTGTACTGTGCCAAGACAGCTTTGGTCATATCACTGGCAATGTCTTTGTTTGTGTAAGTTCTTTGGTTCTTTTCACTGATTTGCCTGATTAAAACACCGTATCTCAAAGCATCTCTCAATGTAGGCAACTCCGACTTCAGGAGCTCTCTCCCAGACCCAAGATAGTGACTGAGATGGCTGGATTTTTGGTTCCTCGTCCTGACACAAGCAGCCATCGCAAATATTATCAACTTATAAATGCATCAGAATCTGAAACAGAAAAAATATTGTTAGTTGGGTTGTTAAAGAATGAAGTCAGAAAGCAATGTTCACTATTTAATTGTAATGCACTAATGCAGCTGTACGTTAAATTTTCGATAAATTTCACGCTAAAATTTACCTAGCAAAAGGTTGCAAAATATTGAAACTGAAATTATTTTCTGTTTATATACACTAAAATCTACCAAAAAAGTGATGGGCCATTAGTTTTAGCTGATCTTCCC